CCTACTTCCTTCGCCCGCCCGCCCCCCCCCCCCCCCCCCACCCCACCACCAAATGTCGCCTGCTATCCAACTCCTTCTTCCTTCCTTTCTTTTTGCTGAGCAAGCTTGACGTCCGAAGTTACCTTCTCGAACTCGCGACTACACTTTCTGATTATATCGTGTCCTGTTCATCGAGACATTTGGTCCAGCTTGTTCCCAGGCATTCATCAAGGTCGTCACCGCAGAGCCTCCTTGAGGTAGTCTCCACTACAACATGACCTCACGCATTGAGAAGACCATCGCTCGACAGCAAGAGAAGTGAGTCAACCCACCTCGCGCATCCAATAACAACTTGCACAAGCCAAGACGAAATTTCTCAAAAGCTAACCATGTTTTGCCATCGTCTTCCAGAATCGCTTCTGGTGCATATTACGAGGCTCATCAACAACTACGAGTCATCGCCGCGCGTTATATCAAACAAGCCAACTACGATGTGGCGGCAGAACTATTAGCTAGTGGCGCTGCAGCCCTCTTGAAAGCCGGCTCCCAGCAGGGTGCTTCCGCTAGTGGCGGAGACCTGGCTATCATGCTGGTCGTTGAGGTGTACATCAAGGCAGGTTGGGAGATCACCCCCGGTGATGATGATACTGAAGGACGAATCCGCAAGAGTAAGTGTTACATATAGTGTCAACCTCGAATAGGCTGCCATGTGTCACCATCTATACCACGGCCTCACTCGGAACAAGGCTGACGGGCAATGTCAATAATAGAGCGATTGATCGAGCTTTTGCACGCCTTCCCACCCGAGGAACCTACACGGAAAAGGTTTATCCAAGAGATGATTGGATGGAGTGGTCGTTTTGGCCCCCTGGAGAGAGGCGACCCCGAATTGCATCATGCTGCTGGGTCAGTATACGCCGAGAGTATGTGAATCACATTACATATCGAAGACCAGACAGTTCTCTAATCTGAAGCTTATAGACAGTGAACCATATGACGCTGAGAAGCACCTTATTTTCGGTACCTCAGAATCGGCCGAGACTCTGGCGAAACTTGAATACGAGTGGTACACTCATGACGATCCGCATACGGCAGCTATCTACGCATCTCGTGCCGTATTTCCATACCTTCTCATCGGAAACCTCCGTAACGCCAACAAGGCCTTTCTTATCTTCACGTCAAAGCTTTCCTCCTCGAATCCATCACTCGGCGTACAAGAGGTTAGCAGCGCTAGTTCTGACGTGCGGGTTTATCCCGCGCTCCCTTTGCTGAACTTCATAAGCATGCTCCTCCTCACGATACAGCGTGGTAGTTCGGATCTTTTCAAGCAGCTGACCGCTCATTATGCATCCCACATTCGAGAGGTGGGTATCTGGGACGAAGCCCTGGCTCAGCTGGGTGAGCAGTATTTTGGGATCAAAATTCCCAGGCAAAGCAATCCCTTGCTAGACATGATGGGCAGCATGCTTTTCGGAGGTGGTCAGGATACTGCCGGTGCCCGGACGGCACCTCAAGGACGAGCGGGTTCGAAAAGGGTCGAGGCGCCCCTTGCGAGTATGGAGCTTGACTAGTTTGAGGCTGGCTGGAACTTCCGCGATGTAAATCAGTGCAGTTCACATCCACCAAGCGTCATGATAGGCGTAATGATAGGCATAAGCCATGTAACCACCGTGAAGATTCTAGATACTGGAGTTGACCTCGGGTTCGTACATCCAATTATCTTCCTCTAAAGCGGCAACTTTGTTACGAAGGCTCTGCTGGATAAGAGTTAAGATTTCTATCTCCAATTAGCTTCGGCCTCTCTAACGGCTGTCGAAAAGACTTGCCAGCTGGCTCACTACTCATACGCCTGCTCTTGTTTCGATACATTTCAGACAAACTGGCTTCGATCTCTATGGTGGATTAGCATGGTCTTGTATGCATGGCATGGCAATGAGGCTTCAACACGAATGCTTACTCTCTTTCTCTCGTCTTGAGATATCGGTCTGGTTTGTAGCATCGATTGATGCGGCCCCGGAACCGCCATGAGCACCTACGTCTTCTATACCCTCCATTTCATCACCCCCATTGCTAACCAAAGCGGGGAGAACCGGAATGTCGAGTTTGTAGCCACCGTTCTTGTCTCGGGCCACAATTTCCCCCCCATCGACGGGGCCGGAACTCAATGACGAGGCTGAGTCCGAGGACATCGAGGGTGCCATCTGCTCGGATAGAACCGGAACCCCATGAGTAGCACTGCTCTGCGCAGAGGAGCTAGAAGGAGCCACCGAGCCAGGGCGTCTGCTGAGATGATGGTGAAAGAGATTGCGGCGGACAGAAGTCGTTCCCATGGTGAAGATTACAGGAAAGAGCATTCACTGGTTGAGGTGAAAGCTGTTGCAGTAATGGTGAGGTAAAGTAAGCGTTGTCCCAGAAGTTGGTAGAGCGCCTAGTAGTCATAAAAAGTAATAAACAAGGTCTTGTAACGTAATACAGACGCGACAAATATAAGTTGCAGAAGTTGGAGTAGTAATAAAGTTCTTGGAGTAGCAGGTTACTCTTGAAACATCACCAGTCCCAGAGATTTATGATGTGGTGGGTGCATACTCCGTGCCATGCATGCAGCAGTGATCGAAAATGGAAGAAATATGGAAAGCGGAGGCGGGAATACAATCGGTCTGTTTGCCAACTGGCCAGCCAGACCCCATGTGATCCTGAAACGACAGAAAAAGATAGATCAATAGATCCCTGCATCGTCCACGGAAACTAACTTGCACAAGAAGAGTGCACTGTGGAACTACTGAGTTGCTTGCGGGAGCGAAAGAAAAGAAGAGAGAAGCCTTTACAAACACAGCCTCTGGTCACTGCACCGGCAACAATCAATTACAACTCCTTTGGGCAAACCCCCGCATGTCCGATCCGACGCGTCTCCGCCTTGACCTGCGCGCGTCTTCCTTTCGCCGAGCCATAACCAGTCTTTATTGATAAACGATCTGCCTTATTCGCATACCACACAGACTAGCCTATTAATTGTGACAGCTCGATTCATCTTCCTTCTTACCCATAATCTCCATGGCCCAGGCAGAATCTTCAGCCAGCGCTGCCCGCAATGGACTCAAACCCCATACGGCCGGCGCTCCTCCCGACTACGAGCTCCCTTGGTATGACGCCGCCACGATGACCAAGGGACCAAGGAACTAACATTGTTCCGCAGGGTCGAGAAGTACCGCCCGATCTTCCTAGATGATATTGTGGGCAACACCGAAACGGTTGAACGTTTGAAGATTATCGCCAAAGATGGGAATATGCCACACGTTATAATTTCTGGCATGCCTGGTATCGGAAAGACAACCTCGATTCTGTGCTTGGCAAGGCAATTGCTGGGGGATGCATACAAGGAGGCTGTGCTTGAGCTGAACGCCAGTGATGAAAGAGGTATGCCCACCTCTGAACGGCGGCCTGAACAATTTTTGACATCTCTCTTTAGGTATTGATGTTGTGCGCAACCGGATCAAGGGCTTCGCCCAGAAGAAAGTCACACTGCCTCCTGGCCGTCACAAGATAGTGATCTTGGACGAGGCAGATAGGTACGAGCCCGTGATTCACCTCAAACGCAGCTCCTCTCCATTAACGGACAGTATATAGTATGACGTCTGGTGCCCAACAAGCGCTACGACGTACCATGGAGATCTACTCGTCTACAACTCGATTCGCCTTTGCATGCAATCAATCGAACAAGATTATCGAGCCCATTCAATCCCGATGTGCCATCCTTCGTTATTCCCGGTTGACAGACGGCCAGGTCGTGAAGCGGTTGAAACAGGTGTGTGACGCCGAGCAGGTGGAACATAATGAGGAAGGAATTGCTGCATTGGTATTCAGCGCAGAGGGAGACATGCGTCAAGCCATTAACAACCTCCAAAGTACATGGTCAGGGTTTGGCTTTGTCAGCGGGGACAATGTCTTCAGGGTGGTCGATAGCCCACACCCCATCAAGGTTCAAGCCATGATCAAGGCCTGCTGGGAAGGGAAGGTGGACGTTGCTCTCGACACACTGAACGAGCTGTGGTATGTCTCTTCCTAGGCTTATTACTGACATCGCGCTGTGGTGCTAACGAGTATGTCAGGGACCTGGGATATTCTTCACATGATATCATCAGCACTATGTTCCGAGTAACCAAGACTATTCCCTCTCTGTCAGAACATTCCAAGCTCGAGTTCATTCGTGAGATTGGTTTTACACACATGCGCATCCTGGACGGTGTACAATCCGTGCTGCAGCTAAGCGGTTGCGTCTCTAAGCTTTGCAAGATCAACATGAAACCCCAGCTTTTTGAGCCACCGAGGAGCTGAAAGCTCGGGTTTAACTGCCGAAGAATTGCATTTAAGTGGCGTTAGTGGCATTAGTGTAGGATATTGTGACAGGTTCATTCATCAGTTATCTAGCATTTCACTTCAGAAGAGCTCCGGATTATATACAATGTCAGGGTACTAGCTGAAGGAACTACTCTTTGGCTGCAGTTGATTCAATACTTCCTGGGAGAGCACAGTGGTCTCATGCAGTCAGTTTTCGTCAAGCCTGCTTTAGAGGCATGGGAGCTTCAGGCATTCTTGCCCCCTCGGGTGGCTTGTTCTTGCTCTTGAACTCGTCGCACATTTGCTCGAATGTCACCCATTCTACGCCTTCGTGCTTGTTGATATGCTCAATGATTCTGTCATTGTTAGCGCCCAGCTGCAAAGCTACGAATGAGACATAGAACCGCGCCAACTCACCTCTCATGCATTAGGAGCACATGCGGACGTCCAGACACATCGGGATGTATAGTCATCGGGAAAACAAACTCGTCGTACTCGCGGTAGAAGTAGTCAAAGTGATCCTAGATCGCCACGGGTCATCAGCCCAGCTCATGTCAAAGACTAGGAACTTTAGCACACCAACCTTCCAGATGTCCTCAATGTCTCTTGGATTCACCCATCCATGGCTGTTCGGTGCCGATTTGATGAACATCATCGGCGGCAAGTCATCGATGTACCAATTTCCGGGGATCTCGACAAGCCCTGTATCCTGGCCCCGGACGAGGGGCTTCATCCACGTCTCAGCCTTCTGCTTATAGTCGATCTTAGTCCACGAGTCGCCTGTCCGCAGCCAGTACATCTGGCAATCATGATGAGACATGGAATGATCGTACTCAATTCCATAGGAAAGCAGCAGATCAGCCATTTCTTTGCTCGTTTCCCACCATGGAGCAACGATGCCTCGTGGCGGCTTGCCGCAGAAATTGTATATCATATGGTAGGTCTTGTCCAGGATGTCACGCTGTTGCTCGATAGTCATGTCGGTTGGGTTCTCGTGGCTATATCCGTGGAGACCGATCTCGTGCCCCTGATCGCGGACCATGGCGCACTCCTCCGGAAAGGTCTCAAGGGAATGACCGGGGATGAACCATGTCGCTTTGATGCCATACTTCTCGAATAGCTTCAGCAGTCGCGTTGTGCCGATATGGCCGGCAAAGAGGCCTGGGAAACCGTCCTGATCAGCAGAGCTTTGGTGGGAAGAAGATAGAACAGAGGGTCAAGTGGCCACTACCACTGTTCTTGCTGGAGAGACTGATAATGTCGGTTTCCTACCTCGACTGATGTCATTGGAACTGTCCTCTCCGCCATATGACCCCAGCCAACCGGCTACAGCGTCGATATCTACTCCGTAGCTGACCAAAACACGCTTCTTGCCCATTGCGCTATGTTGCTGGATGATGGTTTGAAATGATGGAAGGTATGTTTGGGGATAAGGAAGGAACGAGCTGCGAACTTAAATCATTCGCGCTTTAATCTTATCGTTTGCTGCGCAAGACGGACGGACCTGCCGCTAAGAGTGGGGAGGAAGAGGGGAAGCTAGCCTCGAAGACACGGAGACAGGAGGATGATAAGTGCCTCTGATAAAGCCTAGGAGATAAGCCCAGCAAAACGCTCTTTCGGTAAACGGGGCCAGGTTCGAGTCGGATCTGGTCAGATCACTTATATCCGAGTCACTTACTTCCTTATCTCTCGACCAAGTTCAACTCACATCGTGAAGCCAACTTGTCAAGGGTCAGGACCTCATGAACGTTACCTAGACACAATGTATCCTCCGACGTCCTTGATCATTGCGAGTTACTGTTACTTCCTGGATTTTTACCCCAAATCCCCTTCCCAGGCCGCCTCCAACTCGTGCCGAACCTACCTGACCCCAACTGCCCCAATAGCTACGACGCTAAATTGGAGGCGGGTGCAGATAAAAGGTGGGGGTTGACATGATCTGACCGGCAAAGAAAGATTGACTACCTACTCCGTAGTTGATTAGACTATTAGCAATCACAATGAGTGTACGTATGCAGAATACCATGTTATAGTATGGATCATGCTCCTTCAGCGATAGCACATGCTTTCTTCCAAAGGGTTTCAATGGCACTCGCTGCGCCTAGTACCACCTCCTCTTCCAGTTTCCTGCCAATCACCTGGAGACTAACTGGATGGCCATCCATGGCCCTAGCATCGTAAAGTTGCCAGTTCCATGCATCAAGCTCATTCCTTGGCTGATAGTCAGCCGGTAGCTCATCCCGGTCCGCCCTGACTCGATCTACAGGGAAAGTAACGGCAGGATAGTCGAGAAAGTTCCAGATCTTTGTGTAACCAACCCACCGTATACTCCGGTGGGGAATGGCTGGATGAGGTGTGGTTGGAGCCAGAAGTATGTCAACGTGCTTACCCGAGGGAGAGAGGGTCGCGTTCCACTTGTTGAGATATCGCTCTTGTAGAGCAACCTTTCTCTTGTTGAGCTGCCAATACTCATAGACGGAGACAGCCTTGCCGCGGTTGACGAGCGCTTCAACGTGGGGAATATATGGCTCCCCCGCCGCATCAATATCGCGACGAACGTCTTCACCACCATCAACAGTGTAGAATAAGTCCATGAGGCGGATACACTCCAGATGGTCTGACGCGTCCCATGTCACTATGTCGTGACCGTGCGCCTTTAACACAGTAGAAAGCTCACGGAGAGCTCGTGCGATGGGTGGATGGACCCTCACGACTCCATCATCCACGACCAGGCCAATAGTCATAGGTCGACTTTGAATTTCTCGGAAAACGTTCTCATTCCAAGGAAGCGGTGGGCATTTCGGATCAAACAACCATGGCTTAGCATCGATTAAAGCTCGACTTACATAGCAGAGTGACGATAGGTCCCTCCCCATGGGACCAACAGATGAAGGAACGTGCTCCTGTCCTTCAGTTGAAACGGGAACTCCGTGGTAAGGAAGTCTGCTACTCTGGTGCGGAGTTAGTCTTCAACTCTGCTATGGCTTCGGGATCCGGCCTTACACTGGGTTTCAGGCCATACAGTCCCATGAGACTTTGCGGGATTCTGATGCTCCCACCGATGTCTGTTCCAAACCCTAAAAGAGAACCGCGCAGTGCCAAAAGCGCAGCTTCTCCTCCAGTTGAGCCGCCCGGCGTAAGTGCAGGGTCCCGCGGATTGGTTGTTAGGCCCCAGAGGGGATTTTCCGTCTCAGCCCACTATTGAATCCGTTAGTCTCCGGAGTGACTGATTTGAACTGGACAGGCGTTGCACCATAATGCTCTGTGGTAAGTTCGTCTTTGCCAACACAACAGCACCCATGTCTTTCAGTAACCGAACCATGATCGCATCTTGCGCAGCGGGCGCAAACGAGCGGCCCACGTAGCCCAGTGTGCTATCGACCCCTTTGATGTTGAACTGATCCTTCAGCGTGACCGGAATACCATGCAGGGGACCTTTGACTTTGCCAGTCCGTTGAAACTCGCGATCCAAGTCCCTGGCTTGTACCAAGGCTTCCTCGAAGGTAACCTCTGTAAAGCAGTTTGTCTAGTGGGTTCCTCGTGTCAGTACCCTGTGATCGAGTTCGCCGTTATCCATCATATGGTCCAATCCCATGCTCACCAATTGATGTGCCACCACAGCTCTGAGTAGACGTACTGTAGTATCAGCATGTAGTCGGATTATCTTCGCGCTTGCGGCGTTAACAGGTGTACCTTTTGATGTAGGCTAGGGTGGTCTGCTCCGCAGTGATTCTTCCGGTCTTCAATTGTTCGAAAAGCTGAAGAGCACTGTCAATGTCGGTAATTTCCTCAAAGCCGGATGCATCATGCAGGCAGGTGCGCTCATGAACATTGTACACCCGAGGAAAACGTTGTTCAATATCGGCGACAATGTAGGGTTCTATCTTTTGATCTCGCAGAGAACGCTTTTTAGCGACGACCTGTTCCCACGGCTGTAGATTTCTCATAGTTGACGATATAAAAAGACTTGATTATTGGGCTGCTTAGTCAAGCTCAGGTCAATTGTCGATGTTAGAAAGGAGGGAGGCAGAGAGGGAAGGAGGGAGAGGGTGAGAGAATCCGGAGCTTTCACACCTGTTTTATATGTCGGTCATGAAGGGCAATCCAGTGCCAATTCCACCAGTTGGGACTCGAATGTTAACTAACTACTACTCAGTAGCGATAAGCAGTGCATGAAACACTCGCAATTGATTGGACCCAGACCCGATTTCAGGACCTGAGAGTGTACTTACGTACGTGGGTATACCTACTTGGTAGTAATATCTACGATAATCACACAGGGAGCTGAATTACAGTACCAGTACTAGGTCTACGAAGTGGAGTGTGTATGAGCGGGTGGGGTACTGTACTGTATTCTGTACTGTAAAGTACCAGAGAATGACACTGAGTATCTTCGGTGGGGATTGAATGGAGGGCGGAGTTTTTTGCCTTTTCCCCGCGCGGTTGCAGTGACGCTCAGCTTTAATTTCTCTCGTTGTTTTCCCCGGCTCTCTGCCTGCTCCCTGCAGTCCCGCCCGCCGCCGACCGATCGGATTGAACATCCAGCCTCAACCCACTCCTCCCATCCCACTCCTGCTGGCTTGCTTACTTGCTCATACGTAACTTATTTACTTGCTTGGCCATGATGGTCTGACCGTCTGAGAGACCTTGCATTCTGCTGTGTCACAATTGTGTTCTCCATTGTGAATATGCCACAATCATGAACCAGCCACGCTCGGATGTTGCCGCAACATCGTCATCATCATCATCATCAACAAACACAACATCATCTTCGTCAGTGACTGGTGCCATCCGCACAGAATCCCGAAGGAAGGCATTAGGAGCTGTTGCGAAGCGCGCGTGTGATCAGTGCAAATTTCGGAAAATCAAGGCGTGTGATCTCTTCCTTATTTCCCCCCATTCTTGTTCCTTTCACTTCTTCGCTCACCGCCCCCTCTTTCCCCTCTCTCCTCCCCCTCTCCCGCAGCAACTGTGGAGACTTGCAGCTAACCTACCTGTCTTTGTGACGACAGTGCAGCTTGTCACAACCATGTCGAGCTTGTGTATCTATGGGCTTTGAGTGCACGTTTTTCCAGCCTCAGAAGAAAAGAGGCCCCACTGGCCAGTGAGTGCATCCCGCTCATATAGTCTTAGTCATCTTCATTGGAATATTTTCATCTTACCTATCGTGTTTCGGAACTCATAGCCGAGTATCCCAGATTCGGCAACAACAAAATAACCTCTCATTGAACAACCCCCCAGCTCAGGGAGCATCGAATTCGTTCCCAAATGCTTTTCCTTACCATCCAAATTCCTCGTCTCGAGGTGATCAGGTTTTCGAGACCCTTCGAACTCAATCTTGGCCCATTCCAAGCGAAACCCCAGTATCCATAGAGCTCGCTCCTTCAAGTGCGACTCCATCCATACAGCCAGGCTGGAGCACAGACGCTTCCGAGCCACAAAGCAATGGTGGGATTTGCTGGAACGAGCGCAATGATGTAGAATACTGGCTTCCAGATACCCTGGACGCTCAATTGCCCGTGTTTGACTTCCCGGGGAACAACATCCTCTTGAAAACGTCGCTTCCCTCCATTATCGAGACACATCCAACCTCTGCAAGCCTACAGGCGCCGACTATACCTCCGACGGGACCTACAGCACCGAAAACAGATATTGTACCGCCAGCCTCTCATCATTTGCAAATGGTGTGGCCTGCGTCAATTGTTGAAGCTAACATGATCCCGTGGATCGATATTTACTTTGATCGTCTGCACCCTACTCTGCCAGTCCTGAACCGCGCGGCTCTATTCATCCGCATGTTGGCTCATGAACATCGGAGAAACCCTCAATTCGGCGCAATGTTGTTAGCGCTGTGTGCCTTTTCTCTCACGCAACCGATCGAGATACAGGAGCGTTCGACGTCCTCCTCCCGAGCGAGCCAAGCGCGATCCATGATGCATGAAGCGACAAAGATGCGGAGCTGTTCTGATTTTGGTGAGCATCCCACCATCGAGGCCGTCCTAACCAGCTTCTACCTATTCGGTTGTCTTTTTGGTAGCAATCAGCATAATGCGGCTTGGCTACGCCTGCGGGAGGCCCTAGATCTTGCGGCTACCATGGGTCTCAACAATCCAGATTCATATCAAGATTTACCTAGCGAGGAAAAAGGCCAGCGACTACGGACTTACCTAGTCTTATCAATCACCGAAAGGTAGGCTCTCTGATAGCGCTATGGAATTGATCTTTATGCTAATTGGTATCCATTTGTGAAGGGCTTATGCGTTACAACGCAGGCATCCGATTACCTTCTGGGGCAGGCCGGGCTTTAGTATGCGGCCTGTTCATGACTTCATTCACACTGCTACCCACAGTTTGGTGTCTGGTATCATCGTCCACAATGAAAAGGACGCGGAGGGGATGATGGGGCTGGCCCGCTTGATGGAGTTGTTTGATGCCATTGATGAGGATGTCGTTGACTGCTGGAACCAACAGTGTAGTATTCAAGCTGGTTATTGCGAACAGCTCACAGCGGCAAAGGCATTGGTGATTCACCAGAATCTCAACCGCGTCAGCGAATCCGAGCTATACAAAGGTTACAATTGGTTTGAAAGCTCAAAGCTAGCTCACGGTAGTGATCAAAACCGCCCCACGATCGGTTTAAGAGAGACACAAAGTGCAGATGTTTTCATCACCAAAAAGTGGCTCCAGAACCGGATATGGGTCCTTTGCTCCACTCATGGTTTCTTACGGCCCGTATCCGAGCACCGTGAACTCTGTCTTGATTTCGCTGTAACGCTTGCACAAGAGACGTTAGATATATGTCGAGCCCTACCTTTGAGCTCCATGGAGGCCCACGGAATAGGCTTGGTATGTGGTAACCTCATGTTTAATCTTCCCTTTTGTCTCTCTTATTGGTTATTTGTCTTTTCCTGTCGTGTTATTAACCAACTCAGGTGGAAAAACTCTATGACATCGTAGTTGGGGCCATCAGCGTACTATACAATATCCAGATGCCCCTCGCCAAGGGCATTACAGTGCCGCCTCCCGCGGGAATACTACCGAACATGCAGCCCCCCGTCTCTCATATGTCCGATGGTGGAACGTCTCCCAAATCACTGGCAGGAGATTATTTGCTTCTGCTTAACACACTCCGTGGGGGCAACCATCCTTTCATGGACAAGTATAAGGCACTCTTGAGCTCCGTTCATACGACTAATGATACCTGGGCACCGCAATAGCTTCTTACTACGCCGAATGTGGAAAAAAGCCTACAAACTGTTGCCATCACTCTAGTTGGTTACCCGTGCTGCAGAGTCATGGTTCGCAGACAGAAGACATCGAGATTGAGAATCATTCACGTTCCATGCGACTAGAAGGATGACGGCGCAGTGAAGCCCATAGTTATATGGGCGGGCTAGAAATGGGTGCCTTTTTCGGCCATTGACACCATACATTATCCCCAGGCGATGATGATGATGATGATGATGATGATGATGATGGTAGCACTGCCAGTCTGTAGGGCGAGCGCTTGTGCTGTGCCTAAGGTGTAAGGGATTAGCGTTTTTGTCCCATTACGCCCGCATTAAATATACGATTTGTATCAATAAATAAGTCGAGTAGGCTCCAGCATGCTGATGCCACTCCAAAAAATGGACTCATTGTTGGACAACCCATGTGAGAAGAATCGAAAACCTTGTGATGTGGTTACATATTTCGAGAGAGGGCAACAGATAATTGACAACTTGAGCTCGAGCTAGCTGGCGGATGACGAAGACGAGTTTTGCCGAGGATCCGCCGGGAGGTCTTCGTCCAGCATCAAGCTATGTGTTTATAAACGTAGCCCTGCTGCACATTGCAGCGAGACAAGCATTTTCAATCCCATATCGCCGCCATGCACTGCCCCCCTCCCTTGTCAGATCACACGAGCCTCCTCCATCAAGAGACATTTTCTGAACAGACCGAACAGTGGCGCCCATCGTTCCACATCACTGCGCGCAATGGATGGCTGAATGACCCGTGTGGATTGACATACGATCCCACCACTGGTCTCTATCACCTGTCGTTTCAATGGAACCCCAAGGGGAATGATTGGGGGAATATATCGTGGGCACACTGTACATCATCTGATCTGCTCACCTGGAAACAAGCCCAGGAGCCGTGTCTAACTCCCTCGGCCGAGTATGACAGGTGCGGTGTGTTCACAGGTTGCCGGAGACCTGGTACGATCTATGGGGAGTCTGGGGCCCTCACCACGATTTATACTTCAGTGAAATGCTTACCCATTCACTATGCACGACCCTATGTGGCCGGCTCCGAATCGATCAGTCTTGCGACTTCCACCGACGGAGGGACAACATGGCAGCGTCTTGAATGCAACCCAATCGTGCCAGGGCCCCCTGATCATCTTTCCGTCACAGGCTGGAGGGACCCTTTTATCGCTCAATGGCCATTTATCCTACAACAGCCGGGAGCCCTAGCATCTTCGGATCTGTGTGGGTTCGTTTCCGGGGGCATTGTCGGAGAGACCCCGACTGTCTTTGTCTACTCAGTAAACCCACAGGATATGCGAGAGTGGAGCTATGTAGGATACTTGGCTCACATAGGACTTCACTCTCGACCATCCCGCTGGTCGGGCGACCTAGGGGTCAACTGGGAGGTTGCGAATTTCGTCTCGCTGACGGACGACCAGAACCGACCCCGGAGCTTCATCATCATGGGGGCCGAGGGCGTGTCAACACGAGGCAAGCCTCGGAGAAGAGCAGCCAGAGCACAGCTTTGGATGTCCATCGAGCCCTCTCCCGGAATCGGGACGCAACAGCAGCCCCTTGCAACTTATGCCTATTCGGGCATCTTTGACCACGGCTGCGGATACGCGGCCAATTCGTTCTGGGATCCCGTCACCTCACAACACGTTGTCTACTGCTGGATCGCAGAAGACAGTCTCTCCGATAAAATTCGGCATCAGCAGGGATGGAGTGGGACACTTTCCATCCCTAGGGTCGTGAACATAATGACACTGCACCGCGTGATGCGCGCGCGCTGCGCGGAGCTCACCGCTATCACATCTATAGAGTCCGAAGCTGATTTCAGAGGAACGTGCACCGTTCGCACCCTGGGTATTAGACCAGATGCTAGAATCGAGAAGCTTCGAAGCAATGCGCACAGAAGCCACCTAGCTAATATGTCTCTACAAAACCCGGCCAAGCTAGCTGCATCACTAGGCACCAGCGTCTCTATAACGACGAGCAAGTGGGAACTTCAAGCCGAGATATCCGTCAGAAAGGACTGCAGCCAAGTGGGACTGTTCATAGATCATGGCATAGGTATGGATGGCACTTGTGATATCGACCATTGGAAGTATGTTTCGTCGAGGCCTCTTGCTGACTGTCTAGCAAAGATGCTCAACGTCGTACTACTTTGTCGTGGAACGTACATCAAGAGACGTTCATCATCACCCGCCCTTCACCTCCCGCTCCTGAGATAGACCATGACCCGGAGAGTGCGCCGCATACTCTCTTCACTTATGAGACCGACCAAGGCGAGCCACGGGAGGAGACGCTCCGGATCCATGCATTCTGGGATACCAGTGTACTGGAAGTCTTCGTCAACGAGAGAACGGTCATCTCGACCCGAGTCTACCTCATGCCGGCCGACCAAAAGCGATCCATATTGCAGTTCTTCGCAATGGGGGGAGATGTTCAGACACAGCCTTCGGTGGAGGATAGTCCTGCCCTTCTTTTAGAAGCAAATATATGGGACGGACTGGTTGCGACATGATCACTGCAAGCTAAGGTGGTGAGGCACCGAAGATATCATCTAAGTATTAATCAATATTATATATTCTCTATCATACATATGTGTTTGAGTAATGCTCGATCAACATAACAAAATGCAATCGTGTCAACCCATGCTCCGATTCTCTATATCAATGACGACACTCAGGCAGGTTTAAGAAAAAAAAAGCCCTAGGGACCCGCCTCGCCCGTTGTTCGAGTGGTATCCATTTGTGGCCCAAAGTAAGCGATTAAGACGTAATCTTATAGAAAACGAAAGCAACAAGGTCCCCCGCTCTCCTTCACAACCAGTATCCGAAGAATGCGAATGGGTATCATCAAGTCATAGTGGCCTTACAGCACAACCCGTCTTCTCGTCCGATGCAGACTTTCCTTGAATATAATGCACAACAAAAATGAGGTGAACGGCAGAGCCTCAGCGAAGAAGATGAATGAGATTATGTAGTTGAGGAGGTTGGGCATTAGAGGAGTCTGTCATTCATGAATAGAGGAAAGTCACCGGGAGGTTCGCTGCCAGAATTTCCAGCTGGGCAGCGCCTTGTGTCCGTCACGCTTGTAAATACGCCAGTAGTAGACGGGAACACCGGCGATAATAAACGCGACCACGATCAAGGTCTGCAGCGGTTCTGCAATGACGGCGCGGCTGAGCAGAAACAGACTCACACAGCAGAAGATGATCGGAGTCGAAATCCAGGTCTTGTAAGGTCGTTGCAAGTACGGCTCGCGCACTCGGAGCACGATCAAGCCTAACACGGTGAGAAAATAGAATGTGTAGCCGGCGACTCCGTAAAACGTGACGAGCGTCTTGAACTCGCCAACAACGATATAGACCACCGTAAGAGCACTGTTGAGGGCCATCGCATTGATGGGGGTGAACCCAATCTGCGTGCCGGCGCCGCACAGCCGGGAAAGCGACTTGCTCAACCAAGACCGGTGTTGAAGGCGATTAGAGGAGGAAGTGCCGCGTGTCCACAAAGTACCAAAGACTTCAGGTAGATAACCTTCTTTTCCAGCCGCGTAGACTAATCGACCACTGGTGAAGGTCGTGGCGTTTAGGGCACCAAAACAACTTGCGGACACAATCAGTGCAAAGATGAGAGCACCCACATGACCGAAAACTTTGTCGCCGAACTGTACCGCAATGGTATTGCTCGCTTCAATGGTCGCTTGGGGCAGGACGAGGATGTAGGCGACGTTGGCAAGGATGTAAGATAGGATGACTAACGGCATGGCTGTGTGAATCACCCGTGGCAGGTCCCGGTTTGGGTTTTTGAATTCCCCGGTAACATAGTTGGTCTAGATGAGTTCGTCTTAGAGATCGCAACAGCATGAGGGGTATGAGAGGGAAGGCATACATTATCCCAGCCATCGAATGCCCAAAGCCCCGCGTACAGAGCCAGCGCCCATGCGGAAACGTCGATATTTGTACCCTCGAACCAGCCAGTCTTCCATTCCTTGTTAGCACTTCCAGTTGAGGAGAGACCTGTGATAGCTACCACTATGCCGATAATTGTGACAGCCAGCAATGCAACAAACTTGAAGAACATGAACAAGTCTCCAATGCGTGCGGCCACCCGTGTAGAGATGCAATTCAGCAGAGTCACAACAAAAAGTCCGCCAAAGGCAACGGCCTTGTTTATCCATGGGTTGATGGTTTCAACCTCGGCTCCCACTACTGCGCGCACGACATACTCTCCGAAGATGATGGCGATGATGGCAGCGCTGCCGGGCTTCAACACGAGAACAGCACACCAGGTGAACAGAAAACCCGCCAATTCTCCGAATATCTTTGCGAGATACACCTGAGATCCTCCATTCAGCGGGATAGCTCCACCCAGCTCTGCATAGCTGGCTGCTCCGGTCCATGCCAGCAACCCAGCAACTACCCACGCAATGAGCGACGCCCCTGGCGAACCCGCATTGACATTGACCTGGCTAGGAGAGGAGAAGATTCCAGAGCCAATGACCAGGCCAACAACGAGGGACAGACCGTTCAAGTAGGTCAAGGTCTTGTTCCGCTCCAGCGATCCGTCAGCTAGGCCAGCCTCTCCGTCCAAGGCGGACGGGGCTCCCAAGGGGGCATACCCGCCCGTAGTCTGCGATAAGGGAAAGAGCGTCGCCCCGAAATCGAAAGCGGAGGAGACTGAGTATGAGCGCGCGGATCGAGGTCGATTGGAAAAAGATTGTGCGGGGAGCTGAGTACTGGTTAAAGGGTCTTCTTCGTCTAAGGAGAGCTTGCGCGAAGAGGTAATGCCCGAGGGAGAGGAGGAGCAGGAAGATCGAGGACCGGAATCTGGCGATGACGCTAGCGAGGCGAGCTCTAGAGAATCCCGGGGTGGTGCATGGTAACTGTCCGACCTCGAACCGGGGTTGGAAAAGGCTATCTGGGACATGCCTTTCACCGATGGTCAGGGGTGATTAGTATTTTTGAGTGAAGCGGAGGTGGATGGCGAGCAGTGACAGAGCACGGGCTGTGTCCATGCCAATGTTGAGGTCGCGCGATGAGTGACGTTGTATCCGTATAACAGACAAGAAATAATACACAACACTTGACACAAAAGGAGCAGAGGACAAAGGAGGAGAATTAGAGAAGAAGCAAGTGTAATTGAGAGCAAGGGTAAGGTGAGGGAGAGAATAGAACTGAATAGATGAATGAATGAATAAACGAAACCATGAATGAGTCTCTGTAACATGAATTGAGCACAGACGGTCGGGCAGGGTGCGTGGTTAGCTCGATCAGGCTTAGTGCCGAGGGATCACCAGTCCCTGATTTTAATCAACTTTTAATCAACTTTTGATAGCTTCTTCCCATGTTCTCGAATCTCGTTCCTCTCTCTTCACCCATGAAGCCCCGGATTTTTAGTCAGGGCTTTTCTCGGTACGATCGGTACAATGTGTCCTCCATCGGTGGAAGGCTGCTGACGAGAAGCCGCCAATTTTATACCTCGTCCTCCGCCTCCGCTTCCGCATCCTCCTCCGCATCCTCCTCCTCTTCTTCTTCCTCTTCTCCTCCGCCGCCACCGAGATCACGTCGATGGGTGCAAGTGGCCCTTGTTACAACGGCTGCCGCCGGTATTGGCGCATATATCCGATCCGAATACGGTTCTCGGTCATCAACCTTGTCTCCCACTCAATTCACCCCATACTATTTAGTATCGCGGGAACCCGTGTCATCGTCGGGAAGCATTTTCACTCTACAGCCGCCCAAGGTAGATGGGAGCAACCGCGCCGTTTACGAGGAAGCATGGACAACGGGAATATGGAGTGTGATGTTCAAGCAGCCTCAACTGCAGATCGGAAGAGACTATACTCCCCTTCCCTCAACCTCGCCAGATGAAGAGGAGGATGAATGCTTGCGGTTCTTCATCCGGCGAGACCCCCATGGCGAAGTTTCCCGCTATCTCCACAACCTCGATATGGACTCGCCCATAGAAGTGTGTGGCCCGAGGGTCGAATGCGGGATCCCACCGAGCACGCAACGCATTCTCTTCATTGCTGGTGGGACCGGAATTGCCCCGGCGTTGCAAGCCGCACACACGCTTCTTCGTCGCACAAATCAGACTTGTAAACCTAGAATTCATATTCTTTGGGCTAACCGAAACCGGGACGACTGTTCGGGGGGAATCAATGACACAATAGTGACTCCAGCTCCGCAGAGGTCGTGGTTCTTTGGTCGTTCAACACCAGCAGCCAGCCCAGCTCCGGTCGCGTCGCCTCTCAACCCGTCTCAATCCCTCATTGTCCGAGAGCTGGAGGCTCTCCGGGCGCAATATCCTGGTCAGATGACCGTGGACTATTTTGTCGACGAAGAAGGTAGTGCCATTGGCAAGCAGGCGATCCTGGATTTCACTGATTCGGTCGGCTTGCCGTCTCCCAAACCCAGTCAAGACAATCTGATCCTTGTGTCTGGACCAGAAGGCTTCATCAGTTATATGGCAGGACCTAAGCTGTGGGCCGAGGGAATGGAGTTACAAGGACCACTTCGAGGGATCATCAAAGAGCTTGATCTGAAGGACTGGGCTGTATGGAAGCTGTGAGGCCGTTCTATGTACGCTTTAGATATAAGGATAGAGGACAGTAGGTAAACAAGGATGATTACAAGCCCCCGCGTAGATATGTATCGCGTAGATATGTATAACCTAACGTTATTCGTAGGTACAGCACGGTGGGTAAATAGTGGTCAGTATGAGTCCAGCTACTTTCTTGACGGTGTGGAAAGACATCATACAGTAGATTGAAGGATTGAGGGCTGTTCTCTGATTGGGGTCCGACCAGAACAAGGTTGTGGAGTCGGGCTGTTTATTCCATAACTACTCCGTAGACTACGTACTATGGAATTGTTCATTGAATAAGCCCAAACACTATACGTCGTACTACCCCGTCAAGACCTTCTTTTCTTCTTTTCCTCTCTCCCTCCCCCACCAAGCCCTTGTTCAGGAAACTCCCTCAACCCGACCCCTCCAACTCATATATCTCGTAAAGGCGCTGTCAACGCGCTATCAATGCGCGCAGGCGTGCCAGGGCGCCAGCCTTGAGGGGAGAAGCCCATCGACCAGTTTCCGAGGGAAGGCCGAGGATAACGCAGGTCTGACCGAAATGTAACCCAGCTTCCTCGAGCACAGCTATGTGGAGATCGTGTCCTGTGAGGCGACCAACCGATTAGTACCACTGTACAGTACCTCGTACGTGGATAAAGTTCCGGGGGGAGATCGATGACATGCTCCCATGAACAGGCGGCCACCGCCATTTGACTCAGCACCCTCTTAATATTTATTATCTTCCCGCGTAGCGGCATGAATAAGGCCCTCCGTCCCTCAGAAGCGTTGTGCTCGATCGAATAAGCCACCATCGCGAAGTTTATTACCGTGGTACTGACCATAAGCCGTTCAGCTGGCGTACGGGCTGAATTCTGGCATGCGACTTGGAGGAAAGCCAGAACGTAGATCAGGAAAGGCCCGAGCAGACGACCAAGTGAATACGCACAAGGTTGGCAGCTGCCTCCGAACATGCAGGAGCTCATTATAAAGATGACCGGTATGGCCGTCGGGAGTAGCGGAGTGGAGCCAATGGTGTGATCAGTGCTCTTTGGAGGAAGGCAAGAGAATAAATTAAGAAGAACACGAACGAAGAGAAAAAAAGCAAAGGAAAAGTGAAATAGAATGTCCAGTCATATCATATCTTTTCTTCAGCTTTTAGTGAGACGAATTGTCTTGGTAAGTACTAGTAGAAAGATCGGTGGGAATTTCTGCATGCATGGGGGAGGTACGTATGTATGAATGTACAGTATGTATGTATTACCTAGGTAAGGATATGTAGACAGATACAGACCATCGAGAAAATACGAGTGGAAGGAGTACGGAATACGGAGTACGGAGTACGCCAGGCTCAGTAGATAGACTACTAAACTGGGTAGTATGTGGTGGTAACTTGGAACTTGGAACAAAGTACTCCGTACGCGCCTCCTCTTCCTCTTCCTCTTCCTCTTCCTCTCTCTGCAGATCTGACCCGCTGTATTTCCCCGACCGACGCGTTTACAATTGCTTCAGTGAGAAGCTGACATCACACCGCTGCATGATTGGGCCACGTACAAGTCAATGCTCCAGATCGAGCTGAGCAGTAGCCCTGCAGTCAAGGAAGCTCTTCCGGACAATTCAATCCAAACTGCGCTGACACTTGGCACATCGGGCCATGACGCTGCACAGATTGGGTTCCGAGCATGCGCAAGGAGAGGGAGGAAAACCAGTTAGATAACTAATGTTGACACCATAGAGGAGGTTCGGCTGAGACAAAAACAGCCGTTTCTTCTCTCTTTCTCTGCTCTGCTGCAGAAAAGTATCAATGACCAATGACTCGGTTAATGCGAAACCAGCCCAGTCAGACTCCTTCTGAGCAGGTCTACCATCCATTACGACGAACAGACAATCGCAGAACAATCCACAGGCTTTACCAGGACGGTCCAACCCGGCGGACATTTAGTGACTACGCATCCTCTCGCACAGCGCCTGGTAGCATGAATCGTCGCTCATCCGCCCCAGTGAGCACTCGATCGGAATTCGAAAAGGCCTGGAGGAACGACCTCCCCGATACGCAGCCTTCGCAGCCAATAGAGGCTCTCGCGACCACGACAGATATTCCTCTTTCTCGCCGTGATCGTAGGAACAGCAGTACTCCGTACGAAAGACAATCTGGCGAAGCTGCGTCGGGCTTACACATGTTAGAAACAAACTGCCTGGTGCTTCCACTCCGCCTGTCTCCTACGACAACTGGCCCCTCTCAAGGCCACAAGCGGAGCGTATCTCATACTCCGCAACCCGTTCATTCGAGTCCAACCCAGACACGCCGGTGGCAATCGGACGTGACTGGCTCGTCGCGGGTGTCTCGCACCTCGGGCTCACGACGTGAGAGAATCCGGTCCATCGTTCGACAGTTCGGACGACCTAGCTGGTCCGCAACAACCCCATCTTGCCCCGCTCGTAGTCGCACGGAGCGACGGGTCTATGCGAGGAACATAGGGACGAGTAACGACTTGATCACAGCCGATAATTCAACTGCACCGTTATTGGTTGAATTGTCTCAGACCGGATCTCGAGCTGACATTGCGCATCTTCTCGAGAAGGGTCATGATATTGAAGTTCGTCACATGTCCACTCGCCGAACGGCATTACTTGTCGCATCTCAGAACGCAAACGCAGAAGTGGTAGAACTGTTGCTTCAAAGGAACGCGCGAGTGGATGCCACCGATAAATCCGGATCGACGGCTTTGCATCTAGCAGCTTCCCGCGGCCACTGTAACGTTTTGGAGCTGCTTCTACCTGAATTTTTAGATATCGACGTGCGAAACTCTAACGGCCAAACAGCCCTCTGGCTGGCAGCGTATTATGGCCACGTTGATGCGGCGCGCCTGCTGATCGCATGCCATGCTAAGCTCAATGCGCGTGCAGACAGCCAGACTACTGCGCTGCATGCTGCCGCAAAACAAGGTGATGCAGCGATCATTCAACTTCTGGTTTCAGCAGGTGCAGACGTGGAAGCGAAGGACGGAATGATGATGACGGCACTGCATTATGCTTGCGAGGCTGGTCATCTCAGGGTTATTGAGATACTCCTTGATAGCAAAGCGAATATCGATGCGGCTGGAAACGATCGCAGAACACCTCTCATCTGCGCAGCCGCTACGGGCCAACTGTTTGCAGTCCGATTGCTGTTGAAGCGGAAGGCCTCGGTTCGATGCGTCGATGATGCTTCAATGACGGCCTTGCACTGGGCCGCTTTCAACGGGCATACCGAGGTTGTGAATGCATTGGGCGTAAAGAAGACTGTATTGGCTAAAACAAACATCGCTGGTCGTACGGTTCTCCATCTAGCAGCGATGAACGGACAATTCGCAGTTGTTGAGCACCTCATTCGCAAGAACTTGCCTCTAGAAGCTCGCTGCCACACCGGCTTCACGCCACTTCACTACGCATGTATAGCAAACAGCTTGGATGTCGCCAGATTGCTGCTTATATCGGGCGCCGATATAGAAGCTTGCGTTAGCCCCGACCTACGGAGACCTGTCCACATAGCGGCTGCTGATGGATCTATGGGCCTACTCAATCTGCTTTGTGACAAGGGGGCTTCTCTGAAAGCTCGCGACTCTGTGGGAGATCGCGCGCTCTGCGTGGCATGTCGGTACGGTCATGCCGCTGCCGTGCAGAACTTCCTAGATCGAGGGTCACCCATCTACCTACCACATGAAGATTTGTCCGAGGAAGATTCCCCGTTGTGTTTAGCAGCGATGGGAGGGCATCTTCCTGTGGTCACTCTATTGCTTCAACGGGGTGCATTGGCCGCCAAGCGCGATGAAAGGGGCTGGCCGCCCTACCGACATGCCGCTTACTACGGACACCCTGACGTATTGCGGTTACTCCTCTCTTGCGATCTCGCATCAGCAAAGGAGGATGCTGATTTAGGACTTACGGTGGACCGACTTGGCTTTGCCCCTTCGGCAAACATCTCGGACGAGCGAAAGCTGGAGGTGCAGAACCTGTTGTATCGGATACACCAGTCGACTTCGTCGAGGTTTGACGTCGTACCTTCTTGGACTTGTTCTTTTCCAGCGGAGAAACACGATCAAGGTTTGCATCGACCAGCGCCGGTCTTCTGGTCCGACGCTCCAATGGAGACCCATGCCGCTCCAAAAACAACCATAATCCCTCAGGAACTACCCGGGACTTTAGAACAAGGGCTACCCACAAGCAGATCCCACACCCCGGAACATATGCGTCGAGAAGCTGGTCCTAACCATGGACACTTGGGACTCAGTGGCATGCCAGGGGCCTTCCTCGTAGAAGAACAGGCGTTTGTCCCCGCGAACGAGCATCCGATGCTTAGGTCTAGCGCGCGACCCCACCTTGACTCATCTAGGAAATCCCGAGGTATCAGTCTTCCCTTGGAGACAACATTCGCTCGAACGAAAGGACCGACTTTCTTGCCAGAATCGCCAAGCTCAGTCATCGACCCGCGGTGTGCCAGATACTCCTTGTCTCCCATATGGATGTCAAGCCCAGTGTATCAGAGGGAATCCGAGGAGGACGAACACTGGGACTCAGAATCGTCTCTTTCATCAGTATACACGGCGTTGGAGGGTGAAGCATTTGAGCTTGCCGTGTAAAAGAGGTCTCTCTGCCTCTCCTTCTTGTCTCTCTTCAGCGATTCATCTTGCTCAAGGATGAGGAACCATGTTTTCGAACAAGACCGCAATGCAGAAAGGCCTGTGATCAGGCCCAGGCTTCATGTTACTTCTGCTGTGCCATTTATTTATTTCAAGACATCCACCTCATGCAAGTCTCGCTTCTACTGGGTCCCTGACCCAGCGCTTTGCAGCACAATCCTGCCTACACCGCATCAATAACATCATCGTGACTATGGCTTGGAGCTTGTCTTGAATGTTCCCAAACAAAGCCACCCATGCACCGACAGAGCGAAGAACAACACGGAGAACGTTCCCGGGAAATGGTCCGTGGCAAACAAACGCCTGGTAAGACCAATGGCCTTGGAGGTGGAGAGACAATTAAGTATTATTAGGGAATACCGTTCATACCTAACTTGTTGTTCCAATGATCTGGCCCCTAAGCCCTACTTGTCCACGGCCAGTTGGGCGTGCGTAGCTGTCTTTGTACTTGAGAGATCTCAAAGTCAAATGAACGAAGTCTCTATAAAAGCATGGATGGGATCGAGAGACCATGATGCCTATCTTCCTCTCTCATCATACTTCTATCAAATACATCCCGTGTTGTCGCTGGCTTGGATCCGGTCCAAGCCGATTTCATCACTTTCCTGTTCCAGCCTATCTTCGAGACGTTACCTAGAGCCAGGTCGGTCGGTGTCCAACATACTTTTCCCCCTTACCAACTTGCAGACTGCGCCTCCCATTCACACATCAAGACACGGTCCTCAACGCAGCTCATCCCCCTCAACTGACCTTTCATGTGTACTGTCACATCGTCAGCATTCCCGCCCATCCATCTCAACTGTACCTCCCATCGCTGTTATACCTCAGAAAATGGGACCATCCAGAGAGTCCTCTTTGACCATGGACTCCATGGGTCGAGGCGGATATAACGCCCCCACGTCATCAACCTCCACCTCGACCTCGACCGCAGCCGAACAGATGGATATGCAAGGCCGGGGCGGGTATAACGATGTGAATGATAAAGCAGAGACCAACCGGTAGAATGCTCGCGAGGTCCCCGGCTGCGGAGAAGCATCACCGAATGGATGGGAGAGGTATAGGCTGCGGTTTGCGGTGCCAAAAGATAAAAAAAAGAAGATTTTCTCAGGGCTAGCAGCAGTCGTATTTACTTCCCAACGCAGAATCTGTTACCACACGCCACCCCCTCCCCAGTGATTAGCCATGTCATTTGTTTGAGAGCGCAGAAATGTGTTGTTTTTTCGTTGAACGGATAGAACGAAGAGAAAGGGATAGACCCGAAAAGAAAGAATGGGGGACAACGTACTTTTCGAACACCACACCTAGGACATCCTCCACGTCGCCACTCTCATCTTTACCCGTGATTTTGGCCAGGGCATCGGCCGCGGAACGGAGGTGCTCGGCCGCGGTGACGATGTCGACTTCTTCCTCGGACTCGTGTGTAAGGTGGTGGTGGTTTGATGGTTGAGTCTGAATCATGAACGCGTCTAGATCTTCCAGGCAGCGTTGTAGGTTCGAGCTCTGTCGGTGGGTGACGCCCAGAGAATCCTCCCAGTAGGACCGGTCGTACTGGCCATTGGCATCCTCCTTGATCCCCGTCGGGGAGGCCAGTTCCTCAAATGTAGCGATTAACCCCTGTAGAAAGCGCTGGATATGGCCCGGATCGTGCTCCGCCACCGGGCCAGAGACGGAGCCCGTCTCCCGGCGGGCATCTAGGCAGGAGATCCCGAACACGCGCCGGTCCGGCACAGCAGGGAACAGAGTGCGGACGGTGGCGAGCAGCTGATCCGGGAGGCGATCCAGGCCGGGCAACCGGTCACACTTGTTGATCGCAATGACGACGCAGCGGCCGGCGCGCGCGCACTCATTAGCCGCATCAACGACTTCTCGTTCAACCGCCAACCGCGAAGAAGCACTCGCACTCCCCTTCTCCTCCTCCTTCTCCAACGAGACGACCACAACGACAACATCCGACTCCAACGCCCTAGCCTTAGCCCTCCGAATACCCTCTTTCTCAACCGCCCCGATCACCACATTCCGAGCCGCCGCGGAGCTCCTCCCAACATCATCATCCCCCAAAACATCCTCCGACCGGATACCCGCCATATCACCCAGCCGCACAAACCAACCCCCAACATCCACCCCAACATCGACGATATCCCTGGTAGTCCCTTCCTCGGTACTGACGATGGCCGCCTCGCGGCCCACTACCCGATTCAGCAACGAGCTCTTGCCCGCATTGGGGGCCCCCAGCAACGCCACGCGGATCCCGCTCCGCAGCAACTCGCCCTTGGCGGCATTGCCGATATGTAGCTGGATCTGCGCCTGGAGGGCGCGCACCTGCCGGCCCACGGACCCGACCAGCTCGCGCGGCGATTCGTCAAAATGCTGGTCCTCGGCGAAGTCGATCAGCGCCTCCAGCTCGCCGCGCGCGTACAGCAGCTGATGCCGCCACTGCTCGTAGCGTTGCGACAGCGCGCCGCCTTGCTCACCACTGCCGCTGCTGCTGCTCGCCGCACGCACGGCGATCCGTCGCTGCTGTTCTGTCTCCGCGTGCAGGATCTCCCCCAGCGCTTCGATCTGGGGGAGGTCCAGCCGGTTGTTGAGGAAGGCCCGACGCGTGAATTCGCCTGCCTCGGCGTAGCGGATCGTTCCTCCTCCTCCTTTCCTCCCTCTTCTAGAGGGCGTTTCGAGGGGGACTCGGGGATCCTTCGGATATGTTGCTGTGGTAGTTGTAGACGTTGAGGAGGACAGTGACGAGGATGGCGGGTTGAGGTTCGCGATCGCGGTCAATACGGATTTAACGATCGCCGGACCCCCGTGCAAATGAAGCTCGAGCACGTCTTCCCCTGTCACGGTTCGGGGGCCGGGGAAGTAAAGCACCAAGGCTGCGGCATCGAGGATGGTGTTCGAGGATGGAGGGTGGAGGGGGTCGTAGAGCGTGCGGACGGCGGCGTGACGGGCGCGAGGGAGGGGCGCGGAGGGGGAGAGAGCGTTGTAAATCTACAAAAGGTGAGGTTAGTTAGCGGTTGACAGGACAGGTCTCGATAAGCGCTGAAACTGAAAGCGAAATGAATGCGGGTCAAGATGTATACCTGCACGCATGCTGGACCAGATACTCGCACGACGGCGATAGCGGCTCGCCCGGGAGCGGTGGAGAGGGCATAGATTGTGGAGTCGGCATCAAAGAGTGAGAAATCCGGGCCAGAGGCTGAGAAGCAGCGGCGTAGTGATGGACTTAATAGTAGCAGTGGTGCCGGAGAGCGTCTCGACAAAACAGCTCGATTCTGGGCCGGCAACAATGGGCGGGCGGCAGCAGCCCACCGCAGGGTTCGAAGATTGAAGCCTCGCATGCGCAAAATCGTATCAGTCGCTGAGAACCAATAATTGCCTCATAAAGCTGGATAGTTGGGGTAGAGGATGGCTCGAATGTTGGCGCAGAATGCCGCGGAGGTAGGGATCACGTGCAGTCGGTCCCACCCTCGTCGATATCATTACTCAAGACACTCATCCACTCACACAAGCATGATAAGTACAGTACTCTGTATTCGCATTAGATGTTACGGGTCCCATATATATTCTGGGGACCACTCTGCGTATGCACTAAGCTTGGTAAACCAGTAGATGTAGTAGGAAAAGGCCATATCACAGGGACCCTGCGCCCCTTCGTCACGCCTGCGCACCGAAAGACACACGGCCATACGCCTCACAATCCTCCTCCGCCAGAGATATGCAACAGTCGCCGGAACGACATCCAGATATAATAAACAAGAAGAAAACAATGAAAAGCCGAGTATGTACACAGACAGAAAATGGAGACCGAAGTTGATAATAAAAAAGAAAGGGGGAAATGTCAGAGGCTATGAATCGCTGGGAGATCAAGGAGATGGAAAGCATGATGTATAAAGGGTCAAGGAGAAACGAAAATAGGAAAGTGAAAATGTACTCGGGAAACGAATGCAACAGCTTGGTGCAGGGAGGACGAATCAAAGCAGAAGCCACGAAGGAAAGGATACCAAACCTCCAATCTCCCACTTGGCATCGCCGCTTGACAGCCCTCGAAGAAGATCAAAAGAAACGAAGACAGACGTGTCTGAAACACGCAGCCAGGGGAACATCATACACATAGTGACATCTTCCGAGACGGCATGGGTTGGTCTATCAAACATTAGATTAGGAAAGAAGGAATGCGATTAGTTCATGCAACAAGTGCACGGAAGGACGAAATGGGCGTTGCGAAGTGGAAATGAAATTGGGGGAAAGAGGGACATGGAGTGGAGAGATATGAGGCAGTGGTCAATCTACTCCACGGATTTGTTTAGGGAGAACCTTCACTGGGCTCGTCATCGCCAGGTAACTGTAGCTTTTGGTCGGCGGTTGGCGATACCACAATAGATGGCGTCAAGGGTGTTCGAGGAGCTGTGTCATCTCCGTCTCGAGGACTGGCGATACTCACATCATCCGGTTCAATCGGATCTGTCTGGGGAGGGGAAAGTGGTTCGGACGCAGAGGCTACCACCGAGCCATCGGCGCTGTCTTTGCTGGTACTAGAGGCACCGTTGCGTCTCCGCAGCCTGCGTTTACGCCGCTCTTCCTCGGCTGTCTCACGTCTTCTTCTTTGACGCTCACCGTCAACATTGTCCCGAAGACCCTGCAGCATGCTTGCAGCCCGGTCCGCAACGTCTTCGCTTTCTGACACATGCTGAGCATCTTGGCTCGAAGTCTCGGGGGCTTCGGACTCCAAACCCGGAGGACTCAGAAGACCCGTGTTGGCCGAGTTGGCATCGATTGCACCCGCGTTGCTCGTGTCATTGCTGCCAGTCTCTTCAATCTGTCCGGCTTCTGCGCCTTCAGACCCAGCGGGATCTGGCATTTTCTGTCCCGAAGCCACGCGGACCTGATGTCTCTCCTTCAAACGGGCGCGACGCCGACGATCGCGCTGATCCCTCGCCTGAGGAGCCGCCGCACGCAGCTTCTCCAAAAGTGAATCCATAGCACCGCTCGTGGCGGGGGACTGTGGCCCTTCTGTAGCTGTACCGGCGCCGTTTGCCAGACCTGCATTAACCCGCTTGCGAGACAGAGATGCTTCGATGCGTTTCCGATTCTCTTCCAGGCTGATGTTCTTCTCCTTGGATTTCTGGACATTGATATCACGGTTAGAATAAAGAAGCCTTCGACGCAAAGCAATTGCATGTACTTACCCTCCACTCCAGCAAGAATGTAGCCAACTTGGCGAAGAAGTCCCGCCTGGCGCCTTCATCCGTGTTATCCTCGCCGTAGAACACCATGATATCATCATAGCTCTTGACCATCTCGTCCAGGTAAAGTTGCATCTGCTCGGCCTTGCGACGAGCATCCTTCATGCTTCTTTGAACGATTTGACTGACCCGATCCTGAGGATGGAATTTCTTCGGATCACTGAGATTGCCAGCGTCCAAGCTGGCTTGGACGTTCTTAATGTTGTCTATGTACTTCTTAGCATCCGTGCGCAGTTGGTCGACGTTGAGCTTCTGAATGGCGATAACGCCGTTGATCTCATCCACAAAGCCCTCCCACTCGGGATACTGGTTTCGAACAATTCGCTCGACCAGATCTGCAAATGTAGTCTCATTCTTATCATCCTTCACCATACCGAGGCGTGCGAGGGAGCTCAGTTTGAAGCCTTGAGCTTGCTTATTGGCATCGTTCATGAAATTACCAATGTCCAAGATCAAGCCAAGAACATTCATTAGGGCCACGGAGTCTCTCAGAGACTCGCTGACCTGCACGACTTGCTGCAGTTTGGCGGAGATATGCTCGTAGTCTGGCTCATACGAGCGTGTCAACGCAAGAGCACGCATTCTTGCCTTCCAATAATGGTGCAGCTCGAACGCCGTATAAAGGTAGATCTGGTCTTCGCGCGTGAGCTCAGTAGGATCCTGCTCCCGCTCGGCGCTGGCAGCATCTGGGCCGGTCCAATCTCTACTGTATGGCGCCATAGACTTTGAGATATTCTCGGGTATGGTGCACATTTCATCCCTCTGTAAGAAATCCATGACGACCAGATTGTCGAGGATCTCCGTGTCGCAATGAATAATCATCCGTACAACATCGTCCGCAGAGAATTGAGAGAATTTGGCCATAGCAATCTGGAAAGTCTTGGACAGCTCGTTGGAGATGAGTTGTTTCTTATCCGTACGCTGTTTGCCTCCCGCGCCCTTGCCGAAGATCTTGGTCTCTTTTGCCATGAACAGTCTCTCGACTTCATCCAAGACTCCCTTCTTCGCCAGCTCCACATACTTCTCCTCCTTTGCTTGAGCAGTAGGAGCATGAGATGCCCACACGGTCACCTGCGGAGTATCGACCTTATCCCAATGGAGTGCCTTGAGTTTCTTCTTAGGCCGGATAGATGGCATGAGAGCTGTCTGGTGATGAGGAAGAGCTTGAGAAGCCATGTAGTTTGCGCGCCAACCTCCGAATCCACCAGCACCAGGTGGGGGAGGGGGTGGAGGGGCACCGAAAGAAGCACCGGGAGGAGGAGGGGGTGGTGGAGGCCCAGGTCTTCCACCGGGCGGCGGAGGAGGGGGGGGCGGAGGGGGCGGGGAACCCTGATTTTCCTGGTGGAGGAGGAGGGGGCGGAGGGGGCGGAGGTGGAACCCCGACAGCTCCTGGAGGCGGGGGCGGAGGCGGAGGAGGGGGAGGAGCGAACCCCAGCCCTCCTGGCGCAGGAGGAGGCGGAGGTGGTGGAGGAGGAGGAGGAGCGAACCCCAGCCCTCCTGGCGCAGGAGGAGGCGGAGGCGGGGGTGGGGGTGGAGGAGCAGGAGCAGGAGCACATTTATTCTCGACCTTTTCAGTTGCACCCTCGACCCTGGCTCCTTCTTGTTGTGAAGTGGCAGGGTGATCTTCTGTTCCAGGTTCAGCAAGTTTGTTGTCCACGGAGCCATTTGTCCCAGCATCGTCAGCCTCCTCAGCGTCAATCTTAGGAACCTTCGAGGCGATTTCTCCCAGGAGACCGTTGGCTTGCTTAGGATTGACTTTGGGTCGATGAAGATCAACAAGGCGTGCTTTTTCGTATATGACATCACCGGACTCGTCGACTGGCGTCTGAATCTCGGAACTGTCGTCTTGGCCCATGCCCGGTAGATGGCTTCTCTTCCGGTGAACCGATCCGAAGGCGTTGACGTCCAGGCCTTGACCTGTCCGTTGTCCGAACTCATTGTCGGCATCGGCTTCGCCATCCATCTGCTCTCGAAGCTCACGCAGTCTATCTGAGGTGACATGTTGGCCCCATACCTTGCCCTCCAGCTTGAACTGTGTCTTGGTCCGCTCGAGCTGCATCTCCAATCGCTCCAAGAGCTTCTCTCGGTCGAGGATGCCTCTCATCTGTGAAGGATCCGCTTCGGCCATGTTGCTCTTCCTGGCAGTAGATGCAGCTATATCTTGAGCGTCTCGGAGCATTAGGTAGAGTTCTCGAGTTTCCAGCTCATTCCGCTGTAACTCTTGAGCCCGTAGCCTCTGAACATCCGCAAGCTCCGCCTGCATCACTTCCTCACGTCTCCGTTGCAGCTCGATGATCCCTGTCTGCTCATCAATCTGTTTCTGCAGCTTCTTAACCAAGCCATCTGCGCCAAGCTCTACCTGGGCCTTCATCTCATCGCGCTCCGCAAGAGCAGCCTCCGCGATCTGGCGAGCTTCCAAAGATTCATCGTAAGCTCGTCTTGCCTCGGAGTCTGTATGCAGGCGGTCCAAAAGACTTTGCACGGTGAAGGTCAACCCTTGTCGGAGGTCAAGATCGGGAAGTCTACGGTCCATAGCGACATAGCTGAGCATAGCGTCCACCAGCTGGTACATACGAAGACCATCCTCGCCAGAATTCTCCCGGATCAGGAGCATGTGCTGCATGGCCGATAGGAAGTAATCATGAGCCCGAGTGCCCTGTATCCTAGCGGTGATGGCGTCTGTGATTTGCAAAGGATCACTCATATCCTTGACCTCGCCCTCGATGCTGTCCTTCGTACTGCTGCTCTCCCGTTGCAGCAGGTCTTCGTAGTCAATGGCTTCATTCTCCCTGAACCGTTCAATTTGCTTATCGATGACCTCGTACTGAAAGCCTTCCATCTTGGTCATGAGGCGCTTGATGCCGCAAGAAATGAACTGAGCTCTAATATGACAGCGGAGCTGCAAATCGCTCTCGGGCGCGTCCACCAACATATTGATGAGCAGCATGGTTGAAACAGCATATTCCATGAGATGATTCTCCATGCCTATGCCGCCGCTGCGATATTCTTCACTTGCGCCAACCAGGCTGCCCATTTTCCCTCGGCCATCGATGGTCACCTCCACAATACGCATCCAGGCGTCGAAACGGCCGGTTTCCCCATGATGATTCTTGACATGGTCCATAGCCTGGAGGACCTTCTGGTGCCCATGGCCCTCGGCCCAGTGACAGAGAAAGGTCAAGACTTCACTGACCAGCTTTCGCGTATTTAATCGAGGGGATAGCAGTGAGCTAACAAGAGCCACAATGACCTGTTGATGTGCGAGAGCATCGTCTGCTCCATATTTGTTGTTCATCAAGGCCTTTAAACATTTGACAATGTCATATTCACGATCCAAATCCTTGTCCCCTGTCGGGGGAGCTGGGACGACACCTGTGGCCTTCCTTCGATTGATCTTGGCAAGCACGTTTGTCAAAGCGATTTGACCCTGCGCCTCAACAAACGCCTTGACCCAACTGATTGGTTGCGTTCGTAGACTGACACTTAGACTGGCCAGCTGTTTCGAGGTGATTGAATCGTCCATAACCTTCTTCACATACCACTCGGGGCTTCCCTCCTCATCAGCGCGTTCCAGAATACCCGAGGGTCCATCATGGCCGTGAGTCTGCCGAGCATTCTGCCGCCGCTTCTGTTCCCCCTGTATCTCCGTCAACCGGTCCTGGTGCACCAAGGTCCACTTTTTCGAAGCCGGATAAGCGAGCATCTGTCGTTTGGCCTGCTCCGGGAGGTTCTGCCATCCTCGTTTCTGCATCAGCTCGATAAACAGTTGATCCACCACTCGATCGTCTCTCGGTCGGGCGAGATATTGCTCCTGGTTAACCGGAATCTTGGGTGGTTGAGCGGGCTGGGTCGATTGCCATGCTGCCTGTGCATTCGACAGGCGGCCGGAACTGCCATTTGATGCGTAGGTTGTGCGATCGGCGGAATTCGAGGGTGTCAGCGTGCGCGAAGAGCTCTCTGATGCATAATAGCTTGAACCCCGAGTATTAGATGACATCGACGAATGAACACTAAGCTGGTCGAAGGACAAGCGCGATTGCGCCGATGAATCTAGCGTAGAGGAGGAGCTGTGGCTAAAGCCAGTACTGGCTGCAGAGCTGCCCGGGCGTCCCCACTGCTGATATCGAGCACCCTTATCCCCCGATGTACTTCCCGTCATGGTCACGTTCAAGCCATGCGGAGGTGGCCGGGGGCCAGTTGGGTGCGACGAAGCGCTGTTGGTGGTGGTGGTGGCGGTAGTGGGGTTGTTATTGTTGGGGACGCTGGCCGGGTTCCATGCCGGGTATTGGTGGTAGTCGCTGTTTCCTTTGGCGAGATGGTTCGGCGACGGTTCTTTACGTGAGGACGAACTAGGTCTTGAGAGGTGATCAACGGGGACAGGCGATCGGGTATCGGCGGGCAAGCTCTCGTAGGGAATCGAAGTCAGGACACCTGCGGTCATGGACACGCCACTGGGATCAAACTCGTGGGGATAGTCCACGGACTGGACGGATGACCGTTTGGAATGGCGGGATGAGCGAGAGCCGGGGGCGCTTCCAGGAGGCGCCAAACTATCGTGCGAGCCATGCGAGTCGTAACGTTCGTCTACCGACTTCTCTTTGTGCAACTTCCTCCCAAAGAACGACTTCCCAGCGGAGGTCTGTCTCGATTTTTCTGGCGCAGACGTGCTGGTTGGCATCTTGACGAACGTCGCTTGGGAGATGCAAAGCGCAGCATGAGCGAAATCCGCTGAGGAAAGAGAAGGCTGAAAAGAGCGCTAATGATAATCTTCCCTTCCGTCCAAACGACTCGTCCGATTCCCGGTGTCGTCGTTAATTTAGGATTCGGATGAGAGGAAGAAATCAAGAAAGAGAAAGAGAGAGGAGAAAATAAAAGAAGATCCAAGGCGCCAGCGTAGGACCTTGCACTCCTGAATTGACTAGAAGGAAATTATTATTACCCGCAGCGGAGCGGGCGTAAGAGTAAAAGAGGGAGGGAGGAGGGAGGGAGGGAGAGAGGAAGGAAGGAGGAGGGGGAGAGAGAAAGAGAGAGAGAGAGAAAGAGGTGGGAATTCCGCCTTCTGAACACCACGGAGATTCCCCCAATGTATGGATCGCAAACGAAGGGAAAGAGGCGATCTATTCTGAGTCAAGAGATTCAGATTTCCACCTAGTAGGGCTATCCTACTCTAGCAGTTGGAAATAGAAACCCTTTTAGGATGTGGTTTAGTGGCTGGAGTCTTTTTGCATGTCAGGACTGTAAAGCACGGGGCATCAGGGGGGCGGCATGATTGAAGAGCGGCTCTAGAACACCACTTACTGTTGCAGTTAACCAGTGGCTCTCCCCAGAGTAACAGTACTGACCACGTGATATGATATGATTCTATCTTTGTCCTGCACTGCACTGCACTGCACGTACCCTTGACCGCCTACCATTCTCAGACTACTCGAGCAGACTATTCGAAGGTGGGACGGACTGCCATGGCGGAATCACGTGCACGGAGGTTATCGGCGGCCTCGTCGGAGCAGGTGAGTGGAGAGAATAGCCAGACCATGTGCTGTTCCACTGTGCTGTTAAATTTCCCCGATGGTTGAACCTCTGTATCTGTGGAGATCTCTGGTTACTATGGCATTTTAATTTTCTGTCTCTTGGGGATTGGATCACACAGCCTTGCGTCGTGCATTGGTTACCCGCTTGCGATTGCTGCTGCCTTCTCCTATTCCTCCTCCTCCACTTCCTCCGCTTCCGCTTCCTCTTTCTTCTGGAGAGTAGACGACACACGACAAGCGCCGGATTCCTCGGGCCCGGAGGGACGCTTGCAAGCCAAGATGGGTTCCGCATCAAATTTTGCAAAGGTGAACCTCTTCTTCCATCAGCCCCCATATCTGACTCGTCACGGCCCTAACAGACGGCTTCCTTGCGCAGACGATGATCATCCCCGCGGTGATCTCGCTAACCCTTTATCTCCTTTTCTCCTTCGTGATCATCCCCTTCTTTCGACGTTATCATCAACGTTACTCGCAGTATCTGCCGCTCCACACGATCTCCGCCCACACGTTGACCCTTCGGGACCGCATCGCCGATGCCATCATGCGCCGGTTCTTGCCCTCATCGTGGCAGCGGCAGCATCTAGCCGACCAGGACGACAACATCAGTATATACGATGAAGAGGGCGAGATCATGGTGGGGATGGACATGGATGTAGAGCGAAGAGGGGCCCTCGAACGGCAACGCAACTCAGTTGTCGACTCTGGGAGACGACTCAGTCGGGAACTCGAGGCCGGGTTCATGGATGACAGTGAGGACGAGGAAGAGAACCATCCGCAGTCTCGACGCTAGTTTTTGCAATAATCCGCTTCCCATGTCTTTAATACCTATAGAGATATTTACGGAATGCTGTCACTAACTCACTCCCACATGTCACTGAGGATGTCATCACATCTTTGCGCAGCCAGCTGGGTCACAATATCTACAGTGCTCGAAGTGGAAACCACCCGTATAAGTTATGTTATGTAGCTAAGTTAAGTTCATAGGTTCAGGTTAGAGTCAAGTAGGCTGAAGTGGCCATTGACTCGCACAGAACACAACACAACATTCGGGGCCTAGAGGCTGCATGAATACCACAACTCCAGATGAATGGGTCCATTGCGGCGGCACGGGGCAGGTTTTCTTATTGCGGAAGGAATCCAGATATAGACTACTGTCAAGGCGTCGCCAGGAAAGTCTATGTCAGTGCTCAACATTCCAAGCTTACGAATGTGTGGGGCAGCTTCGGAAACAGCCCGATGCCATGCGCAAAGAAATTTGAAGTGAAGATATTTGTATTTTGAAGGTATCATAAATAGCTAAATCGTCAAGGAGACGTTCAAACCAGGAACGTCTGCCGAACTATTCGAGTCATGTATTTCATATTAATGTCCTCCAGGGTTTAAGCCTTGTTGCGCTGACCGTAGGCGCGAGTGACATAGTCACCATTGTGGACGATGAGGTCCTCGTTTCTGTAGTCGTGGCGACCGGAGAAGTAGCTCTCGAGGATGGCCTTGGTGCCGTTGGCATAACGGATCTGGGCGTCAATGGAGGTACCAGACATGTGGGGAACCATGGCGTTGCCGCCGCCCCAGGGGCCCTGGACGTAGCGCAGAGGGTGATCCTTGGGGGCGGGCTGAGGGAACCAGACATCACCTCCGTAGCCTCTCAAGTGACCAGACTTGACGGCCTCGGCGACGTCCTCCTTGACAACGATGGCACCGCGAGCGGTGTTGATGAGCCAGGAACCTGGAGAGTTGTATTAGTGTCTGAGATTCTTTGCCGATACGAAAAGAGGCATCTTACCCTTCTTCATCTTGGAGATGAGGTCCTTGTTGAACAGACCACGAGTCTTCTCGTGCAGAGGGCAGTTGATGGTAACAACATCACACTGAGCGAGCATCTCCTCGAGGTCGTCAACACGGCGGCAGCCGATCTCCTTCTCGACCTCAGGGGAGAGGGGCTGGTAGTCGTAGTAGAGCAGCTCCTTGCAGTCGAAAGGCTTGAGACGGCGCAGGACACGCTCACCGATGCGGCCGACAGCGACAGTTCCGACGACCTTGTTCTCCAAATCGTACTCGTTCTTGGCAACGGCAGCAACGTCCCATTCACCGTTACGGATCTGCTCATGGGCAGGAACGAAGTTGCGGACCAGGGTGAGGATAGTCATGACAACGTGCTCCGCAACGGAGACGACATTGCAGCCAGTGACTTCGGCAACAGTGATACCGCCATTGGTCTTGTTGGCAGCGTTGAGGTCGACGTGGTCGGAGCCAACACCGGCAGTGACGGCGATCTTAAGGTTCTTGGCCTTGGCCAAACGCTCCGCGGTGAGGTAACCGGGGTGGAAGCTGAACCGACCGAGTTAGTGGCTAAAAGGGGTTGCTAGGGGGGCGGGGCATAACAGGAAGTGTTATGTTAAGGGAAGCCACATACGGGGTGGTGATGATGACTTCGGCATCAACGAGCTCCTTATCGAAAGTGGAGTTCTCACCCTCCTTGTCAGAGGTGGTGACCAGAGTGTGGCCCTGGTCCTCCAGCCACTTTCTCAAACCAAGCTCGTTCTCAGTGGTACCCAGAAGACCAGGCTGCTGCTTGGCGTGCTCACCGCCCTAATCATTGTTTGTTAATTGATGTTTTGTCGTCAGTGATGGATCTGGGCCGAGGCCGAAGCCGACGACGGACTTACGTCATAGAGAACCATAAGAACCTTGCCCTGTAGATTGGCCGAGGCGGTTAGCGTACGTGCACCAGCAATGGAGTTGGCCAAAGGTGAGGTCCGAAAGGGACTGCTGCCCGCCGATGCGAGAGGGCCTCTGCTTGAAAGAAGAGAAGTCGCAGGCCGTCGAAGTTGACGGGAGACGGAGCGCATAAATACCATTTTGAAAGAGTAGAGTCAAATTGACTGATGATTTGATGGATGGATTGGTTGAGAGAGAAAGAACTGAAGGATCTTGTAGACCTGTAAAGCGGAGGGTCAGCTTGCCATTATATATACCCAGTAGCGATGAAAGAAGTTGGAGAAGGCAAGGTAAGATTCTGGCCCGCAGCCACCACCAACGTTACGGCCTGCCAGTGTTCGGAGACCTTTGCGAGCTTGGATGCAGTGCAACAAGGAAGAGCGGGGAACGATGACAGACAGAAGTGGAGACCAAACTGCCTGCAATACTGCACTGGCTGACTGGGAAGAAAATCTCCCAAAAAAATAAAGAAAAAAAAATAGCTGCAGACTGCACTGCAGGCAAGAATTGTCTCAACAACGATGCTGAGGGGAAATCGACTTACCGAAAGCGGGATGGAAATTGATTGAGCGTGTACCTTGGTAGCAAGGAAGACAATGGGAAGATGACCCAAGAATGATGATAAGATGCGATGATAGGAGACACTGATGGTAAATGGAAGGCAGAACTTAAGAGGGCGGGGAATTTGGCCAAATTTATAGGTCCATTTTCATACATTCTCACCGAGTTGGCTTCCCCCCCCCCCCCCCCTCTCTCTCTCTCGTGATTTTACTGTACTACTGTACTGATTGTACTTGATGGATACCTTAGGTAGTACTCAATTATTGCTATTTTAGGTAGGGTACAGTACACTATCCGTTCCTCCGTCTTCCGGCGAGAAGGAGCGGAGGAGGAGAGGAGAGGGGAGGGGAGGGGAGGGGAGGGGGTGCCGCAGGCAGGCAGTGTGGGTGTGGGTACAGTACAGTACTAGACTCGGAAAGAGGGGTGGATCACTACCACCAGCCAACCTTGAAACCATGGCAGGTGGCAGATCATCCCAGTTAGGGGTTCACCAAGCTTTCTCCGCACACGGGACTCCCTCCCGTCTTTGCGGTCGTTAGGTTGATAGTCAATGCTATGTAAATTAGTACTAAAGTAAAGTGAAATGGTCCGAGTAGTTAGACTATCCTGGAACTCAATCCTCGATTGCAGGGAGCGATCTGTCGGTGCACGTTTGTATCACTCTATTATCTAAACAGTCAATGTATACACATAGTACAGTACACATACGATGTCACTATGCTCCACGAGTACAAAGCTCATGCGGGGATCTGGAATGCAATGCAAATGTAACTAGAGTTACAGTAGACTACAGTAGCCGTGGTGAGCCGATGAGGGGGAATCCGAGCAAGGGCCGAGCCTTTGCCAGATAACTCGGAGCTAGATACGTCTCAGTACTGTACCTGGCAGGGCGATCAGCCAGGATTGTCCCCGCATAGCATTGCCGCGGCGCTACTGCAGAGTTGAGTCGGTGCTACGACTAAATTATGAATGGGTCTTTTGGCTCGATTCAGATAATCAACGGGCAGAATTACTGTTTTGTCTGGCTGCTGTCAGTTGGGTACCTAGTACGGAGAATGGACTGGAATCTTACCATCCGTTCATCCATGATTGTCCCGCATTCCACCCAGTTCGGATAGCTCCATCCTTTCCCCTCATGAGGGGAAGACTGCCCGTCATAGCATGGCGGCAGTGAGGGGTAATTTGACTCCTCACGAGAAAGTCTCCCCGCATGGCCTCCCAGATGCTGTCTCTCATAGCAGGCCAGGACCCCATGTGGAAATGTTATGGTGAAAAGTCGCTTCGTTTCAATCTGTGTAGCTCAGTACAAGACTGACACACAGAACAGACATCTATGTGTCTACTAGAGCTTGACTCTCCCCTTACATTGAATTTCGTCGTGGGGTAGTCAGCGCAAGCGCAGTCCGATAACCGATAACTAACGAATTACTGACAACCCAAGCTTGAGCGTTCTTCTACCTCCCCCCGACCGAAGCGATTTTTCCCTCAAATGCAATTCCTCCACTTCCTGGAAACCGAAATTCGACCGCATTATCTCCGGCACTGGTTCTCTGGGAGAGAATATTCAGTTGACGTTGATGTCTTGGAAGAGAACCACATTGGAATCTCCATAATTTGAGACAGACGTCACGCCCGACCCCGACCGCAGCGGCGGCGGCAGCATGAGGGGAAACCATCCGTCTGTTCCCCACTACCAGCGTGTCCGCGTGTCTGCCTCCTCATTGCCCACACCCATTGCCCTGCCGGTCTTGCCGCATCACACGATACGCCTGTCTGCTCGTTGACCCCAAGTGTTGAAACGCTCCCCTTCGGACTCACGAAGCGCTTGCGACGCCCGGTGGCCAATAACACAGTACCGGGCGAAAGGGCCCTTGATCATAGGTGTCGCGAGCTTCAAACTTGGGTGGAATCTCTACTGATTTCGAGACAACAAGGTGCACGAACCACAATTTTTGTTTCGCTTCTTGAGTTTGGAGTTGGTATATTCTATTCATCCTATTAGGATGTCTTCTATCTATAGTACAATTTTTCCGAATAATAGGCAGCGCATGCTTCGCGTGAAACACGGAACATGATTCGAAGCTTCTGGCGATATGATATCGCTTCTAAAATACAACATTGACCACCTTGCCGCCTTTGACAACAATTACTCGTCGGCGCTTCTCCCAGTCGTTCTTCTCCCGCAGCCATGTTCGTCCTTCGTCGGTTTCTAGAATGCGACTGATAATCCAGTCTTGTTCATCTGTGGTGTTCGCGTTGGCTTCGGCGGTCGTGGGCGAAAGTCGCTGTGGGATTTTCACACTGAATCGCAATTTTCCGTTAACTTGAACCGCGACAGTCTGCCCTCCTCGTGCGGACAGTATGTCGGCCTCGGCGGGGGCCAGAAGGGGTGTGGGCCAGTTGCAGTCGAATATACTTGGGATAGCTGCCGTTTCCGAAGCGGCATCGGCTGAGTTCCTCGTCACCACCGAGCCGTTTAGGATCTCCCAGCACTCGGAGGCAAGAGCCGGAGCGATTGGCGAGAGAAGACGAAGTAGGGACGAAACAGTCAGGTAGAGAACTTCGGGTGAGGTGGGGGTGGATGATACAAGAGCATTGGTTAGCTTGGTCAGGTCAGAAACGACGGTATTCAGGCCATAGCGATTGGTCTCAATGCAGTTGGTGACGGAATATATGGTTCGATGTGTGGTAAGTAGAGCGTTAGCATCACCATCAGCCAGGCTTTGGAGGGCCCCGGGCAGCGCAAGCGCATGGCCGGAAGATGTCTTCAAGTCCGATACGCCCAACGCAATTGATGAAGAAGACAACGTTTTCTGGGTGTCAGTAACGAGCTTCCAGAGTCGACCAAACCAGCGCTCCATACCAACAATCTTCGTCTCGTCCCATTCCAGCACCTCGCTGACCGGG